GTTTACAGCTATGGCATTTTGTTGTTAGAGATTATTTTCTGCAGGAAGCATTTTGAAGCAGTGGCAGACAATGAAGATGAAATGATACTAGCTGATTGGGCATATGATTGCTATATGCAAAAGAAGCTGCACCAGCTCTTCGAGAATGATGAGGAAATCAATGACATGGAGAAGTATGTGATGATTGCAATATGGTGCATTCAGGAGGATCCATCACTCAGACCCACCATGAAGAAAGTCACACTGATGCTTGAAGGAACTGTTGAAGTCTCAGCTCCACCTCCTCTTTCATAAGTAAAATACTATAAATATATATAATTGTTGTTGTATCATTTCGTTTCGTTGTCTGTGTTCTACTTATTTCATTTCATCACTTTCCTTGTCATCCTGGTGAATAAGGTTTCATTAAGCTACTCAAAACTCGCTTTCTTGTCAATGTATAACTTTGAGCATAAATAAAAGGCCAATGTGCTGCAAACTCGCTTCACAAAATCTCCGTTTGACAGTAAAAGATATCATGTCAACCCCACTTGTTAACAACGTTGCATGAAAAAATGAACAGCGAAAAAATGGTATTTTCTTATTTTATTTTCTGTTACATAAATAAAAGATGGTATTTTCAGTATTTGATCACGTACTCCACATATAAACCGCGATGAATTTTTTATGGCGTACATATTTGTTTGAACTTGAAAAATTATGCATATGCAATATAAAGATAGTGAAATCAGAGCAGACTCAAAGATTAGGGTAATTGATCTCATATACACTTAATAAATCTCACTCATAAAGATAAAGCAGGATTGAGAGGAATGTGTTTGAAGGATTCAAAGAAGGCAGCTTCCAAGTGATTACCCAGCATATAAAGATTGAAAAAGACTTGCAAACGTATATAATATAGGAAAGGCTGGATTTCTAATTGTATAAAAAGTACATGACTTTGAAAAGTCTAAGATTGAATAAAGTTTTATGGAGTTAAAAGTCAGCTCAAATGCTTTCCAATTCCACCAAACTGAAGTCGCCATATTGAAAATCAGCGTAGCCATGCAAACGTTACTCCCACATTGCACGAAAGGGAGGCCCAAAAAGTCTTTCTATTTTTTTTCGTCAGGTCATTGCCACCTTGTTTGCCATTCACACTTTTGTTGTCGTTTGTCTCAAAATTTCTACCAAATAAAGACTCAAATGTACTTCTAATTGATTTTCCATGATTAAATTTGTACCCTTGAGCTGGATATAGCACCCTCGGAGCCAATCACTCTTTCTTTTCACATCTTCATACTGAGAGGTCATAAAAAATTCATGGGTTTGATTGAATGATCTGTGGCCATTCATGGAGTACAGATGAAAATAACATTCTTTCCCTGTAGGACCACATTCAATTTTGAATGTTGAAATGCAACCCAATGAGGGGGTTAGAGAAAGAATGCTTCTTTTAGGCCAGGGAGGACAGGAAAGAAGCATCTCACTATACACTTAATACGTCTCACTCCTAGACATAAAGCAGGACTGAGAGGAATGTGTTTGAAGGATTCAAAGAAGGCAGCTTCCATGTTATTGCACCCATGACCCGAAAAGGCAAATTTAAAGCTCCAACTGTAAATCTACCATGGACTTTTACTCAGTCATTGGTGAAGACGAGCTCATTACTTGTGACTTGAAAAGTAGCAGAATGCATGATTCCAAACCTTACATTGGTGCATTTAGACTCAGGTCCTGTAAATTGTGCCCGAAACATACGCAAACTGACAGACATTATTGCCCCAGTAATCGCTGGAAATTGTGTGGTTGTGACTTGAATAATATGTTTTAAAGTCGATAGAGCATTCATCTAGTATTTTTTATTTAAGATCTCAGTCCAGTTTGATAAATTTGATAGCAGTGAAGTAATTAAGTAATCTTATGATGGCTTCTGCATTGCTATGTCTTTTCTGCTTCTTCCTTATTATATTGCTTCCATGTACCTCCCTTGCTCAAACATCCAGAAACATATCTTTAGGTTCATCCCTCACTGCACTTAATGATAACTTGTCCTGGCCATCGCCATCTGGTGAGTTTGCTTTTGGTTTCCGAAAGATTGGAAAAGATGGCTTCCTGCTAGCCATCTGGTTCAACAAAATACCAGATAGAACCATAGTGTGGTCAGCCAATCGGAATGATCTAGTGCAAGAAGGATCCAAAGTTGAACTTACAAGTGATGGAATGCTCGTGCTTAGAAACTCGGAAGGCGGACAGGTATGGAGTGCTAATTCTGCTGGCACAGAAGTGGCCCATGCCGCCATGCTTGACACGGGGAATTTTGTGCTGGCCAATGCAAACTCAACCAATTTGTGGGAGAGTTTTGATGTACCAACTGATACAATCCTACCCACACAGACTCTAAATCAGAATGGCAAACTCTTTGCTCGCTATACAGAAACAAACTACTCACAAGGAAGATTCCAGTTTATACTACAATCTGATGGAAATCTCTTGCTTTACACAACAAGATTCCCACTGGAATCTCCCAACTTTGCATATTATGCAACCATGACTATGGGCACTGGCTTTCAGGTCATCTTCAACCAGTCTGGGTCTATTTACCTTACTGCCAAGAACGGAAGCATACTTAATATGGTATCATCCAGCACAGTTTCAATGAAGAATTTCTACCAGAAAGCTACTCTGGAGTATGATGGAATTTTGAGGCACTCTGTTCACCCTAAAAGCAATGGCTCAAGTGCTGGAACCCCACTGGCTTGGTCCCCTTTGACCTCTGAACCTTCAGATATTTGCTTTAGAGTCGAAGGAGACATAGGCAGTGGGGCATGTGGGTACAACAGCTTATGCAGTTATAATGATAAAGGACCAGTTTGCCAGTGCCCGTATGGTTACTCCTTCATTGATCTAAATGATAAGCTGAAAGGATGCAAACAGAACTTCGTTTCACAAAGTTGCGACGAGGCCTCATCAGAGACAAATCTTTTTTATTTTCAGGAGATGCTAAACACAAAGTGGTACGGTGGTGATTATGAGCAATTTACATCAGTACAAGAGGATTGGTGCAGACAAAGTTGCTTAGGTGATTGTTTTTGTGCTGTTGCTGTTTTCAACAATGGAGAGTGTTTGAAGAAGAGAATTCCTCTTTCGAATGGGAGGATGAACCCCAGTATTGGTGGAAAAGCTCTCATCAAAATAAGGAAAGACAGCCCCCCTTTGACACCTGAAGGTCCAAATGCAAAAAAGAAAGATAACTCAACTATGATCCTCATTGGATCAGTGCTCCTCAGTAGCTCGGGATTTCTGAACTTGGTTTTACTATTAACAACCTACTTGATTGTTACTCGCATTTATAATAAAAATGCAGGGGTGAATCAACCTTACTCAGTCATGCCAGGCATGAATGTGAAATGTTTCACTTACGAGGAGCTAAATGAAGCTACCAACGGATTCAAGGAAGTACTAGGCCATGGTGCTTGTGCAACAGTTTTCAAAGGAATTTTAGCATTTGAGAACAGGAAATTTGTTGCTGTCAAAAGATTGGACACTATTGTTGGAGAAAATGAGTTGGAATTCAAAGCTGAAATGAGTGCAATTGGCAGAACAAATCACAGAAATTTAGTCCAACTACTAGGATTCTGCAACGAGGGGCAGCACCGAATTCTTGTGTATGAGTTTATGAGCAAAGGTTCCCTTGCAAGCTTCCTCTTTGGAGAATCAAGGCCTAACTGGTACCAAAGAAGGCAAATTGCCTTGGGTACTGCAAGAGGGCTCTTGTATTTGCACGAGGAGTGTAGCATGCAAATCATACATTGTGACATTAAGCCTCAAAACATTCTTCTAGATGACTCTTTCACGGCCAGAATTTCTGACTTTGGATTAGCAAAGCTTTTGAGAACGGACAAGACTCGAACTACCACTGGAATCAGGGGAACCAAAGGGTATGTGGCCCCTGAATGGTTCAAAAGCTTGCCAATCACAATGAAGGTGGATGTTTACAGCTATGGAATTATGTTATTAGAGATTGTTTGTTGCAGGAAGAAATACGAAGAAAACATAGAGGACGAAGATCAAATGGTACTCGCTGATTGGGCATATGATTGCTATAAGCAAAAGAAACTGCATCTGCTGTTGGAGAATGATGATGAGGCAATGCATGACATCAAGAAGATGGAGAAGCATGTGATGATCGCAGTTTGGTGCATTCAGGAGGATCCATCACTCAGACCCACAATGAAGAAAGTCACACAGATGCTTGAAGGAACTGTTGAAGTCTCAGTTCCACCTGATCCTTCCTCTTTTATAAGTTCAGTATTTTGAGTGCTTGCAATTATAATTCCACTTTTCTGGGTATCAGAAATTTATTATGTCTCAAAAAACCGAAGAAATAATTTTATTTAGCCAATATATGTTCATTCAATGCATTGTAAGTTGTAACCATTTTCTGTGACATATATAGCATGCACCAAATATTATTGCATATTCACAAATCAATTAATCAATTTACCATTTGTTTTACATACCCAGCTCTAACATTAATTGGCTGCAAAAACAGAGGCCAGCCTTCCTTGTACAAGACTTTTAAAAAAAATGAACGAACTTGGAAATTTAGTCTGGGAAATTCTACACAAGAAAGATTGTAACTTTAAGAAACACAACAGAAAAATGTGATAAAAAAAGGCTAGACCCACATAGGAATTTGTAAATTTGGTAAGAAAAACAAAGAAATCCAAAGAGAATGAGAGAGAAGACAAAGCAGTACCTGTTGAGACATGTCTGCCAAGGTCAAGCACTTGTGCTGCTGCGACTGATAGGTGAAGTTGAATGAAAATGAGGTCCGGTCCCTTATTTAAATGAAGGAACTTGCTTTTCCATAAGTTATACCGTACCCTTGAGCTGGATAGGCCATCCCTGCTGTCAATTTTCAAGATTCAAAATTTCATATACAGAGGGAGGCCATGAAACAGCTATGGGTTTGAATCATCTATGCCGTTTATGGAGTACATTTTCACGTCATGAAAATGGCACCTTTTTCGTTGTTCAAGTTGTCTCCAGACCATTTGGCTTTGTGCTTGCAAAAATGCCTGAAAGCGAAGGCTCTGAGACAAGGAAAGCAAGTTCATGCAGTGTTGTTAACAAGTCGGGTTGACATGAACTTGTTATCTTTGAGCTCAAAGCTTGTTGGGACGTATGCTAGTTGTGGGGATACGGGTTCTGCAAAGCTTGTGTTTGATAAAATTCCCAAGCCAAATGTTTTTGCATTAAATTGGATGGTGTTGGCCTCTGCCTTTAATGGGCATTATGATGAAGCAATTGGGTACTTTTATTTGATGCAAGAATTGGGAGTTATTGGCAATAAGTTCACGTTTCCAGTCATGCTTAAAGTCTGTGTTGGCTTGATGGATTTGAATAAGGGAAAAGAAGTTCATGCTGCGGTAAATAAACTTGGTTTTGCAAAGGATGTCTCTTTGGCAAATGCCTTGATAGATATGTATTGTAAATGTGGAAGTGTATGTCATGCTCACCGTGTGTTTGACAGAATGCTCAACAGAGATGTTGCTTCTTGGACATCAATGATATGCGGGTATTTTAATGTAGCAAAGACTGATCAAGCCCTTCTTTTGTTCGAGAGGATGAAGTTGGATGAATTGGAACCAAATTATTTCACATGGAATGCAATGATAGCTGGGTTTGCTCGGTGTGGAGATACAGAGCGAGCATATGCACTTCTCTCTAGAATGACTGAAGGAGGACTGGTTCCAGATTTGGTTACTTGGAATGCAATAATTTCTGGTTTTTCCCAAAGCCAGCATGCTGGTGAAGCATTTAAACTGTTCCGTGTCATGTTGCTGTCTGGAACTAAACCGAACCTTGTGACAATCACAGGGTTGCTCCCAGCTTGTGGGTTGATTGGTTCAATTCAAAGAGGGAGAGAAATTCATGGATTGATCTATAGGAGAGGCTTTGACATAAATGTCTTTGTTGCTAGTGCTCTTATTGATATGTACTCAAAATGTGGCAGTGTGAAAAAAGCTCGAAGTGTATTTGACCGGATTCCTGTAAACCACGTTGCATCATGGAACGCATTGATTGGATGTTATGGCAAGTATGGTATGGTTGATTCCTCCATAGAGCTTTTTGAAAGAATGCAAGAGGGAGGAGTGCAGGCAAATGAAGTGACTTTGACATGTGTACTTTCTGCATGCAGCCATAGTGGTTATGTGGAAAAAGGCTTAAAGATTTTCAGGTCCATGAAAGGGAGTCATGGAGTTGAGGCAAGTAAAGAACATTACGCTTGTGTTGTTGATCTCTTGTGCCGGTCAGGGAAGATGGTAGAAGCTTACGAATTGATCAGGGAAATCCCTGTTGAGGTCACTGAATCCATTGTTGGCGCCTTTTCAATGGGTGTAAAGTCCATGGAAGAAGAGATCTTGCAAAGATGATGGCTGAAGCTATTCTAAAAATGGAGTTAAAGAGACCTGGAGGTTTTGTGACACTTTCAAATATCTATGCTGCTGATGGAGAATGGGAAGAGGTTGAGAAAGTAAGGAAGGTGATGAAGCAGAGGAAGGTCCTCAAGAAACCTGGATCTAGTTGGCTTGATAAAGGGATGGCTTTGCAGGAGTGGAAGTAGAAAAGAAGTCAACGAAGTGTGTATCCAAGGTCTGCCTCTCATAAGATATAATCAGTTCAGTAAATTTTGATTTTTTTCCTCTTCTTTTTGTTTCACAAAAAGCATCTCCAGTACAACTGAATTGAATTTTGTATTTGACATCATTGATCCGTCCAGCTGTTCTCTTTCATCTTTGTATGCAGACAAGATCAAAATGGAGAAGATGATGGTGAATCTAAAGATGAAAACACTATTGGATTTGGTGGTTGAACGAGTTGCAGGTTTGCAACTTCACATTGTGGCCCTACATTCTTCCATTCTTCCTTTCTTTCCTTCAAACTGTAGTCACAATGTTTCAAAACAAGTTGGACAACATATAACTAATCCAATTTTCTGACAAGTGACAAAAGAATTACTCAAGATTTGATTATATAATCCAGATAAACACTCTGGAAAGCATGGCATAAGTAATTAGTAACATGTACATAAGCAGATTATCAGTTATTGCTAGGCCCAAGAATGTCTTTGAAGTCTCTGAATATTGTACTTTCTCATGAAACTGAAATTGCACTTATACTGTTGCTTCAGATATGTTGCTTGGGAGTTACATTTCTTCTTAAAGTGTTTAGGAATGACTTTGTTCAATAAAGACGAAAGGTTGCTTAACTATGAATTCTGAAAACCCTCGTATATTTATTTAGTCAAAATATTTTGAAGAAAACTCAAACGGGTCATAACTAACACTTCAAAAAAGGTCCTAAAATCACCAACTCTTCCAATAATTGCATGGCTTGAAAGACATACAGGCTTGAAATAGAAGGAAGAAACCATGCTCTGCTGCATACTGTGGTTGTTGTTGTCCATGTACTGGAGGGGTGGGGGGGGTCTCTCTTGGACCACTTTATCTGCCCACGCGTTTATTTGTTTTCTTCCAAGACCCACACATACAACAATTGTTCAAAATTTTGTGGGAAGCATGATATTATGGATTTTTGTTGTTAGCAAGTCAATCCTTTTTGTGTGGAAATTGGAAGCATGTGATACTACGAACTTTCAATGAAGTACCCAATTTGAGGGTAACAAGAAAGGAAAGCCTCTATGACTCTCCCGGGTAAATTCTGAATATGTGCAATTATTAAATTATAAATTATGCGTATCAAGTAAACTCGAAACTTTTGCATGTTTTGAGAATGAAGCACCCCTATTTCATTCAAGGTGGGAGTTTGTGTAATTTTAATCAATGTGTATATTTCAAGACACATGCTTTGTGCATATAGTCTACCTTGAGCTCTTTCCATATGGTGCAGAAAACAAATGGGTAAGCAAGAAAGTCAAAAGACAGATATAACTTCAACCTCCTTTGAAAAATACTAGAAAAAAAAACATAATTAAGGACGATTATTATTGCCATCATCTTTATTTTAATGTAAAGCGTGGGTTCTTATCCAGATTTTGGACAAAATTGAACTAAAGGACTGCCATATATGCAGCTGGCTGTCATCCATTAATATATCCCATCAATTTTGGTATTTTCTTTTTTGTTGGTTGGCTTATGCAGGACAAGTTATTTCGGTTCAGAATCAAGAAAAGTATGATCTTCTTCACTACTTGGAATAAATGGCCTTTATTTAAGACAAAGTTTCAAAACACAAACTAGTTTCATTTTAAAATGAAAAATATGTAAAGCAATAGTCTAAATAAAAATTTATATGAATAAAAATAAATAAAACTTCCAAATTAAAAAAAAGTCTATTAAATACATATATACAGATTATTGCAATTTCAAATAAGAATATAAATTTGCTTTTATTCTGAGTCATTTGGAAAGATATATCACAGCTTTGATCCAGTTTTGTCGGCCAATTCAGTGTCATCGTCTTAGTTCACAGAAGCTTCACAAAAAGAAGTAATGGGGTACGATTCCTTAAATGGTAAAGTAGTGCCCTTTAAAGATGGTCCCTATCTATTGGGAGCCGTTGTTATCCTTTTTCTACGGGCTTCTCTTTGGCTCTAACTCTTTGTAGAGAAACTTAGTTGCAATTGGGATAGAACTGTTTTGCAATTCCGACCAATAATGCTACGTTATATTGAAATATTATCATATGTGTCATAGTGTTATTGGTTAGGAATAGAGAAATAGTGTTATTCCCGTATCATGGAAGTCTGAAGGCCTCAAAAAATTGCTTTGAAAAAAAAAGTGGCTGTTGAAAACAAAGTTGAAGGCATAGAATTAGGGATATGGCTTGGCAAATTTAGTTGAGTAGATAAGGTTGGTTAGAAGACCACCTCTCTTTCTTTCTATGATCTTACTAAAACGTACACAAAAGAACAAATACAAGCAAAATGTTAGCTCACTAAACCACAATATTCATCTTCAAATCCAATGTTTTAACCATTCATCTTTTGTTTACTTGATCTTTTTTATTTGAAATCTTCTCAACAATTACCAACCTCTCAATCCTCGAAGCTAGCTAATATCTGAGAAGCAATGTAATTTAGGAATATTTTAGTAATTTTCAACTCTAGCTGTCACAATTTCACTTCAAACAATCAAAAACTCATTGCTTTCCTAGACAAAAAATGAAAAAATGAAAAGAAAAAAAAAAATCTTAATCCCATAAATAGTTCATAATCTTCTAAATAAAGGGTTGATTATGTTTCATTTTTATTTTCCCTCTTTGCTGATAGAAAATAAATGGTAAATTAGTAGGTTACACTGGTGGAGACAAAAAGCCATCAAATATGCACATTTTGTTGACATTTTTTCCAGCGTGAACTGTGAAGCACACAGATTGACAGACATACAGTATAAGACATGTATATATTTTTGGTCTGGGAAAACAGTGTGTGATGTTAAGCATATGACTTTTGAACCTGAGTTTAAGAAGCAACTCGTCATATGGTAAAGCAAAGCGTATATTTCAGTTACCAAAATGACCTTGTTTTCTTAAGTTTCTTACGCGTACATACACTTACACACATATTACATACAACTCATCACAGTTTACAGAGTCGCGGACTACAGAGCCAATCAACAAATATCTCTTCACCCTTCTCAGCTCTCTCTCTTCGTGTTTCAGTTTGGCCAGTTTCTTGGGTTGCCACACTTGCTGTGCCTCACATGCCAATCCTTAATCTCTTCGAATCTCAAAGTTTCTTGATCTGGGTTTCCAATATTTCTCTTTCAGATCATAGTTTTTGCGATTAAAATCTTCAGTTTTTGAACGGCTTGAACTTCAAATCCACTGACTGAGGAAAACCCATATCGTTATTGGTCTTTTCTGAGTCTCATATGAGTACTTGAATAGATTGCAAGTGATGGTTTTTTGTTGAAGATGCACCAAACAGTTTTCTCACACCAGGTCAGTGTCATATCTCTCCTCTCCTTCTTTACATTTTCTGATTGGAATAAGCGTTTCATTGTCTGTTTTATTACTTTCTATTTTTGATGGCTTTGGGATTTGGAGTTTGAAGCTAATTGAAATGATTTTGATGCTGGCCATAAGATAAAATAAATGATTTTGATGGTCAGCTCAGTTCTATCAAGTTCATTATATGTGGTGTTCATGCTGTCTGATGGATCTTGCTTGTTTAGGTTTTTGGAAGTTACATTTTTTTTTTCTTTTCTTCTGTTGCTCTTTTGGGATTTCTAGTTCTGTGATTTTCCAGATAGTAAAGTTTCTTACTTTCATTCCAAAGTTCGGGTCTTTGTGGAGATGCGGCTTTCCATCCAGTTCTCTTATGATTAATTTTGATGTGTTTTCTCTGTTGAGAGTAAACCCATAAGAATTTCGACATTGTTGGCTGAAAATCCTGAATCTTTGTACTAGTTGTTCATCTTTTAAATCGGTCTCCAGGCGTATAAGATCCTATATAGAGCGATACAAACTTCAAATATTTGGCTGAAATCACAGAAGCTCTGTTACGGGGGGTTTTGACATGTAACCTACCTCAATGCCTAATTTTCTTGCTGTGCAAAAACAAAAGACTGCTCTGAATCTTAGAGGTTTCCTTGGTTGGGGGACTTATGGAAATTTATTTTTTTACCCAACTGAGGCTACTTATCTTTAGCTTTATCATGTTGAGAATACCATCGTTTGGAGTTTAGAACAATTGGGTTATGGGACCTAGAGTGATGATCTTCTTTTTTTTCACTTGACAATTAAAAGAATGCTTAATATGATGTTTCATCATAGGATGCTTTATCAAATATTTGTCCGAAAACAGAACCCAAACGTGGGTAGGAGATGTGGCTTTTTAATGGGGATAAAAAATGGTGAAACTGGGGTTTCTGTATTGATGAGGGAGAGAGAGAAGAAAGAGAGTCCAATTGTGAACTCCTAAAATTTTTTCTTGTGATAATTAAATTATGAGCTATCTTTACATTTCGGAGTTCATTGGTTATGGGAAGAAGTGGTTGCTGCCTAGTAGCTGTTTAATATATTTACTTGAATCAGCATTGATTTGATATGCTATTGGTTCGCCCTCATATACTCTGTCTAGCTATTTAGTTGGTTGGTATGTTACGTAAAATCAATTATGGGATCCGTATATCTTTTGAGAAGACACCACATCTTTACTTATAGGATTCCTTTTAAGTTGTATTATCCTTGTGTTTTACTGGATATTAGTGGGAATGAATTTCTTTGTCAATTCTAAATTATACTTATAAGTACCTATACATGAAAATGACATCTTTTATGTGTTCTTTCTGGAGCAGAAATCTTTTATTGCATGAACTTTTCTTCTGTGGAGTTTTGAGATTATGGGTAGAGGTAGAGGAAAGGGAAAGAGGTTGACTGTCACCAATCATGACGATCCTGGAAGTGGTGAGGAAGAAAAATACCTGCACAAAAGAGAAGGGGAAGGCCTCAAAAACCCTTAAAAGATGAGATTGATGAAGAAGAAACTGAGAAAATAGAGGCAGATGACAGTGAGAATGGAAAGGCTGGTATTGCAAGCAAGGAGATCAAAAGCCCCTCTGTGGCAGAGAATGGTAAGAAGAGGAAGCGGTACTCACAGGTGAAGGAGAAGTCAGATTCGGTTAAGGAGGAAAATGGTATTGGGACACGATCAAGCACCGATGACTCAACTAAGTCTAATGGATTTCGGCATAATGGGAGCAGACGGAAAAACAAGCCCCGTCGAGCTGCTGAAGCCGGTGTTGAATGCAAGTGAGAGTATGGTAACCTGTTGCACTGGTTTCTTCCTTTCCACAACGCCAGAAACATCTCGGGACAGGAAGTGAGACCTAGTAAATCTCTAGTTTTTTCTTCTTTTTCTGGTTAATTGTTCGTTCTTCGGTAATTTCGTATCATAATTCCTTTTTTGATTTGAATTGTGAAATTTGGAATGCATTCTGATGGATGTAGTTTTCCATGGTGCTATGATATTTTAAATTTTGACTATTTATTTCTTTGCACTGTATAATTTGCAGAACGTATTTAAGGCTTTAACCAGTTTCTATCTTCACAGTATTATCTGTATTTTTTTGCAATTAATGAGATAACATTTAGATTTATATTAGGTAATTTAACTAAAAGGTTTGTATTATGCTCTGTACGAGTAACAGTTCTGAGTAGATTACCTTTTCACTTCCCCCTAATTATAAAATTCTTGCTTCTGTTTTAGAACTTTTTTCAAGGTATTACTCTAAGAGAGTTCATCTTCTCCTTATTTATTTTGGTTTTAAATTATTATTTTCTGGTGTCATATATAACTTGTTCTTGGATTGTCAGACTACCATTTAACCTTGTGACATGTTACAAGTTGGGCTTGCATCAATCACTTTTTGTCTGTCTCCAGACTTCACACCTCGAACTTGTGCATGCATGCGTACGTGCATGCGATCTTGTGTGCATGGTTAGACACACATTTTCTAGATTTAGACTGGATCTATGCCTTCTTTGCTAGTCTGTAAAAGATTTTAAGCTTACTTCTGCAAAGAAATCATTTACTTCTGGTGTCTTATATAACTTGGATTTCAGAGTAATATTTAAACTTGTGGCATGTTACAATCCTTTATACTTAGCTAAGCTTTTGTTTCCTTCACTGGTCGATAGTTGGTCTTTGCATCAATGACTTTTTGTCTGTCTCCAGACTTCAAACCTCAAACATGTATCCGCATGCATGCAAGCACTACATTTTGTGTGGGTACTTAAGCACACTTTTTCTAGGTTTATACTGGATCTTTGACTTCTTAGTTAGTCTATGAAAGATTTATGCTTAGTTATGTAAACAAACTTGTTTATTTTCATTTAAAGTAAACTTCATTTACTTCCTAAAAGGCTCATTAGAAGCATTGAATGGAAGATAAATAATTAAGAATTCAAACACTTTCTAAATATACAATATATAAATATGTTTGTTCAGTTAGTGAACTTTGCTTTCTTTATTTGTGTAGATAGTTGGAGATTTTAGTGCCATATATTACCTTGTTCTGTGAGTCTCTTATTTAAGTCAGAAAGCAATTTTTACAGGAAAATATTTATGAGAGGCCCCTTTATCAAATCAAAATTGAGAAAATAAAAAAATTGGTATTCTGAAGCTTTAATAGGTTGAATGGTTTTTTACTGGAAAGTTTATTCGCTTTTAAAAATCTCAACAGAAGCATATTATGGAAAAGAAAGAATTAAAGATAAACAAAACTAAGTTTAAGACACTTGATTCACAAGATTTTTTAGATTGGAAGACTAGCTATGAGTTTCCACCGGCTAGTTAGGGCCAGATCTTTTGCTATAGATTTGGAGGTATATTGTTCTTTGTGAGCGTTGAGGTGAGGTTATAGATAAGAGCGTGGTGATTAATACATGGCATATAATTTCTATATTGATATCTAAAATTATTGACAGAATTTTGTAACATTTACTCTTATCTTCTTTGAAACGGTTTTAACAAATTGAGAAGAACGTATTCTGTATGTTGATGGTGTTGAAAGCCGAAGACTTTTAGAACTATAAACAACTAAGAATGGATGGAAAAGGATTGAGTGAATAACCAACTGAAGTCAAGGTCGTTGTTTAGACTCTGTTTTAGCCTAGAGAATTCATGGTTGTGTTTGGACCTGTGCTTGGCCAGTCTGTTTAAGATTTTTGGCTGGGAACTCTTAATCAGTACTTGGAGTTGAACTTCAGGTTTCTACTTTGCTTTAGAAGTAGTACTTTTCTGTGTCTATTATATGTTTGTTTGTTAGCAGGGGAATTTGATCTGTACTTGGTGTTTTAAGTTTTGTTAACAAAATGTAGAAACGTTAATAGTATATAAATTTTACAAATCAGTAACTAAGCCGATAACATTGCAATAATACCAAGTAGAACTTGATTCATGAGAATTGAGATGCTTGAGGGTGCCTAACCCATGCACTTGTGCAAATGATCTGGGGTGTATTGACTGATATGATTGTGGACTTTTGTACTCTAAAAGCTGATATGCTGAAGCACACAATTTATGTATGCTTCATTTAGACTGTCAAATAGTTTAAGGTGTGCAATGCATGTTATAAGAGCCTGATTTGTTTACTAGGGGACCAAAGGATTACTTTCGGAATTCTTGTTAAAGGTTTTGCACTGGCTTGAAAACGTCGAATAGAACCTCACATTGGTTTCAAGTAGTGTTGTATGGCTACGCAGCACTTGAGCAGGTAACTGTTTCACTCAAGGGTACACATACGATTTAACGATTGAATTTTATATTTTGAACCGATGTACTGATTCTAGTGATAATCCTGATTCATTTTATTAGTTGTCATTGAATTGAAGCACTGTTAGTAAAGAATAATGTTATAACCCAGGAAAGGAGGAAAAGAAAAATAGGTTGTTTCTGCTGTGTAATTTTCCCTCAGCCTCCCCCATCTGAAGAGGCTGGGCTCTGAAGCTAGTCTGTGTACATGGCTATTTATGACTGCGAGCAATGTTGGATGTCTGATGACAATTGTTTACAGTTTGGACAGTCTTATATTTTTAGCCTATGTGAGAGATTTTGGAGTGAGATTTGAGCTTCCTATTCAAGCTGGGTGCATCTCTGTTTGAACTATTTTCCATCTAATAAAATGCACCATGTCTCAAAGGCTTGTGCAGGAAAAAATAAATGAATTAAAACCACTAGTTCGATTATTTAAGCCAATCCTTATTTAATTTTTTTTTTTTTTTTTTTTTTATTATTGGAGGTCCATTTGGGGGTCTTCATTCACTCTTCAAAACTGGAACCCTTGAAAAGTTAGTTTTACTGTTTATCAATTGCAGGCAGCTCCTTCATAGGTTGAGCTTTCCGCGCAACTATTTATTTGTGCAGAAAGGAAAATGGGCAGCTTGCTATTAGAAAGAAAATAAAATTTGCCTACTCTGAAAAGGACAATAAAATTAATGATCCTTTCACAGCTTCACGGGACAAGGTGCTTTTGATTTTTTTTTGGGTTGAAATAACAAAGCAAATGTTTTGACTTTGAGGATACAAAATTTATCACCATTGATGAAATGAGTCAGAATTCTATTGAGGGGGATAAGGTTCTATATCTTAAAACGTTGGATGAAATTGATTAATTTGATTCAATGATTAAGAGATATGACCTATAAGGCCCGAACTATGAAATGACTCATGAAATGTAAGAATTGTGTGTTGGGTCAGTGTGACTTGAACTTGTGAACCAACATGATCGAAGCCCATTGGGTTAAGAAAAATGGAGAAACGTAGACTGATCAAATATGGGTTTTAATTAAGTGGGTTTATAAATGCAAAATGGCTTCGTTCAAACATAAACACAGCTTCTTTATTTTGGTTTTCTGATGACTTTTGGGGTGGGGGGTCACAGTGAGAGGACGTGTGGGTATGGGGAGATGATCGGCGGGGGATTGGGGTTCCTCGTGAGAGTGCATGTGGGTATGGCTGGCGGTGGGGTTTAGCTACTTCTTTTTTCATTTTTAAATCTTAATTTCCTTTCATTGGAGCTGACTCAATTAAAAGTCGCCCAAGTCACGGATACAAATATGATCAATCTGTCATGGAATTAGAGTATAACCTAATATCTTTTTCGGTTACAAGAGTATAACCTAATATCAGTAGAGAAGAATGCCTGTAATTAGGTACGGACTCAGAATTTAAAATTTACTAGGGCTAACTTTTAAGTTAATTTTTCCTATCTGGTACGGAAATAATATGATAATTAAAATAATAAATTTTATTAATTTATGTTGATGCTTCAAAATGGACGGTCAAGATTGAGTCTAATTTAGGGATGAGGTGTGATGGATGATGGGTGAAGGTGAGGACCTTCAATCATGTGTGTGAAGATTTGGGCAAGCGATAAATATAACAGAAGACAAGATATACGTGGTTCACCATTAATGAATGAACTACGTCCAAGGAGAAGTATATTTTCATTCTTTTAATAATGTGTATTTAAATTTGTACTAAGGGTTGGGCCCAAATATAAAAGGAATAAGAGAGAAGTCCATAACTAAATATCAAGCCCAACTTAGGGATCCTATCATAAGTAGAGAGTGGTCTCCTTTTATAGGTGGTGGGGGGAGAGAGGGGGGGGAGGGGGGTCTTCACTTCTTGTAATATTCCAATGTGGAACTCTTTGTCTTGCTCAGAGTTACTTTTAGTTGCTTAGTGAGATATGTATAAACAATTTATATAAATTATTATTGAATTAACACATTAGTTCTATTAGTTAGATGTATTATATGTACTGGTATGTACTAGTTAAATCCTGAAATCTCTCGATTCTCATTGTTTTCCCCCAGCACAAAGATAAATCGAAGAAAATAGAAGTACTAAAGCTGAAGTTACAAGAGGGATAGATACGACATGGATTCCCACAAAACAATAAAAAAATTAAAAATGAACGCATGAAAGAAAATGTGTGGGGCTTCCCTGATATGACCCAAGCAATGTCCCTGTTTAGTGGGACCTATCTTGTTGTTATTGTTTAGTGGGACCTGTGTTAGTGTTTACTACTTCTTGTTCGCTGAACCCATCTTCTTCGCATCATCTTCTTGCAGCTGTCTCTGCAATTTAAAAAAATTCGAGACTAGGCTGGCTGGGATATATAGGCAGGGGTTTCTTTTTTCTTCTTCTTCTTCATCTCTCCATCTGTCTCCGTCTCTTCCTATTTCTTTCTTTTTTTCTTCTTCTTTTCTCCATCTCTCTCTCTCTCTCTCTCTCTCTCTCTCTCTGTG